CAGGGTGTAATGTAGCAATGATGAAAAATACAACTTTCCTCTAGTTCCTAAATGCTTCCTCCTCTCCCACTATCATGATCCCAATTCTACCTTACAAATATGGCTAGACCAGAGGATGTACCCTGGTAGAGATAGGAACTGGAAACACAGGAAATCCAGGGCAGATGATCCCTTCAGGACCAGTGGTGAGAGTGGCGATACTGGGAGGTTAGAGGGTGGGTGGATTGGAAAGGTGGAACCGATTACAAGGATCTACATGTGACCTCCTCCCTGGGGGAGGGACAACAGAAAAGTAGGTGAAGAGAGACACTGGACAGGGCAGGATATGACAAAATAATAATTTATAAATTATCAAGGGTTCATGAGGGAGGAAGTTGTGGGGAGGGAGGGGAAAATGAGGAGCTGATGCCAGAGGCTTAGGTGGTGAACAAATGTTTTGAGAACGATGAGGGCAATGAATGTACAAATGTGCTTTACACAATTGATGTATGTATGTATGGATTGTGATAAGCCCCCAATAAAATGATTAAAAAAAGAAGGCCCAGGCTAACACTTACTGCAGACCCAGGACATGCAGGCACCGGGGTGGACCCTTCATCTAATAGCGGGCTGCATTTAATTCTCACAACAAATTAGTTCTCTTTAAGTAGATATTGTTATCTCATTTAAAAAAAAAGTCAAGAGGCTTGGAAAGATGAAGATACTGATCTAGTCATCAATGCAGGCCAGTGTCAGAAATAGGGGGGCCTCAGTTCTCTGAGGCCACGACAACCCCCCCTCCCCCAGCTCTGCTCCAAGAGGAGCTGTGAATCCCTGAGACATCAGGAAGCATGAGCCAGCTTTCACAATCCTCATTTGGTTCCCGAAATAACCCTGTTGGGTGGGTACTACCCCACTTGAAAGGGGAGGGAGCTGAGGCTCAGACAATCCAAATCCCTTAAGCCAAGAGTTGAGAGCTAAGACTGCCGGGTCTCACAGCTTCACACCAGTCACGACTACTCTATGCTGTGAGAGACAAGGTGTCCAGGTGGGCAAGGGAGGCTCTGGGACTGAGCAGCCTCAGCAGGGCTCCTGAGCAGCAGTAGCTTTTAGTCAGTTCAGGGAGTGACCGGTGCTTGATCCTGGCCGGCTGTGAGGGAACCAGAGTGCCTTCCTTACAGTGACCCCGGGGTGGAGGGGTGTGGGGGGTGGAGCTCGGCAGGTTGTGACAGACATGAACCAGAGGTACTCTTCCTGCCCTCAAAGACCTGACCAAACGCACAGCCAACTCACTGCCATCGAGTTGATGCCAACTCGCAGCGACCCTATAGGGCAGGGTAGAACTGCTTCTGTGGGTTTCTGAGACTGTTAGTCTTTACAGGAGTAGAAAGCCCCAGCACTGTCCCGAGGAGCGGTGGGTAGTTTCAAACTGCTGACCTTGCTGATTGCAGCTGAACGCATAACCACAATGTCACCAGGGTTCCTCAAAGAGGGTGCAGGCACCCTTCTTTCTGGCAGTCTCTAAAACCCTCTCAGCCCCCAGTGCAGACAGACATGAGTGGGCTATAGGTAGGGGGGGGGTAGTGTCTTATTTCATGAAGGGCAGATGGAAAGGGAGGGGAGGGTGGGAGGCTGGTGATGGAAGGCAGGGGTGGGAGAAGGAGAACTGGACAAAGACGAGCAGAGGGCTGACGGTGGGCAGGCTGTGGGCCTCAGAGGCCAGAGTGCACGCCTTCCCTCGTAGGGCCACATCCTGCAGTTTTTCTGAGGAGCGGACTCTAGAGCCCTATGTCCCAGCCTGCGCCCTCAGGCTTAAGAATGCCACAGACAGCCATGCATGTGAGACAGAGCACCCCACAGCCCGGCAGGGCAGGAGGTGCTTCCTGGGCCCTTAGCCCGAGGAGACCAGGGTCTACTTTAGGTGACTCTGTCACTGAACAAAAACCAAACTAAACTCGCTGCCATCGCGTTGATTGCAACTCTGTAGGGCTGGGTAGAACTGCCCTGTGGGTTTCTGAGACGAAGCAGAAAGCCTTCCTTTGCTCGCACAGAGTGGCTTATAGTTTTGAACTGCTGACCTTACGGTTAGAAGCCCCGTCCCTAAAACCATAGGCAAACCTGCCCTGGTGGGTTGTGGGGCATGAAAGACATTGTAGCAATTCTCCAGATCTGCCCCAAATCCAAGAAGTAAGCAAAAAGGAGCCTATAAGTCAGCAGGAATCATTATTTCCTAAGTAAAGACCTCTTACTAACTCACATGCTCAGTAAATACAAATGACCGTGGGGGTTAGAGTGGATTGAGAAGCGGGAGAACTGAGAGTGGCTGACAGGTTATATGAAAACAAAGCCAGAAAAAAATCACCAAGGACATAGACATGAGACCTTGCTGGGGCTGGGGGCAGGGGCGCTGGCTCTTTCCACACTCCCCCAGAAGCATTGTTGGGTTTGCAGTGGAGATCTGACCCACTGGGAAGGCTAAATGGTGCCTATGGTGCTGGGGGCAGAAGGCAATCATTCTTTCCCAGAAAGCGTTCCACCTGGTCTGGCTGCCAGGAAGCTAGGTGCTTAGAGAGCTTTGTTGCACACACCAAGAAAGGGCCCTCCCGTATCAACACCCATTCCTGATGTGTTTAGTCACTGGAAGAAATTCATTTGGGATCATTCTGGGTTTAGTGAAAGCCTTGGCTCAAATTCCAAAGAAAAAAGCTTTCAACTCCTTATTTCTCAACTGGCCTTTTCTTCTTTATTATTCAAATCCCAATGTCTTGGCAGAGAAAATGCTCCTATTAAGTTCTGGGTTTTCATTTAGGGGAAACAATCCAAACCATTTTTCTGCTTAAAACAAACAAACAAAGCATAAGAACCCCATGACTATCTCAACAGATACAGAAAAGGTATGTGATAAAGGCCAACACCCATTCCTGATAAAAATTCTCAGCAAACTGCAGTGTAGCACCAATGAAACATACAACTTCCCTCTAGTTCTTTAATGCTTCCTCCCCTCCCAC